CCCTCTAACCTCCCTGCCCCTTTAGACCATTTCGCCCCCTCAGTCACTTTGCCCATTCGAGTCGTCGCTGTGTGATCATGTTAAACTAACTTGCTGTGTCTTTGAACAACCGTTGTTCGAGCGCTGACGAAGACTGCGATGACCCAGGCACCAAAGCGGTGCGCGAAAAAGAACGCCGTCAAGCCAACAACGTTCGCGAAAGGTTAGTGAACACACGCAGTACGCACTTTGTCACATTTTAGTAAACGATACACCATCCTAATCCATTCCTCCATTAATTCACTAATCATTCTGCACATTCGAGTTCCTCAGGTTGACTGGCTCCTCGTCTCTCTGCATCTTGCTCCCTCCGTAGAAAGCAGCCAATTCTCCTCTTCCCTTATTCTCTAGTCATCCGACACATGTAACTATTGACATATGCACACACGCATCACAGGCATCACAAACAATTACACGAATAGAGAGAGAGAGAGAGAGACCTTGAGAGCATTTTCGAATTCAGTGGAACTGTGCGAACGTGGAAATTAAAATGTCGCTGGTTGCGAATTCGGATATCGGATGGGATACGACACATAGAATTTGGTACTTTTCTCGTGCGTACCTACTTTCGATCAGTTTCATTTTAATTCAATTACGTTTCGGCAATTAGGCATGCTACTATCTTATTATTACTGCTAGTGCTACTACTATCACTGCTACTAATACTACTATTACTACTGTACTACTATTGTTATTACCTATTACCACCCACTATTACCACCACCACCACCCCTACTACTACTACTACTACTACTACTACTACTACTACTACTACTACTACTACTACTACTACTACTACTACTACTACTACTATTACTACTACTACTATTACTATTCTACTATTATACCCTCTTTTAGATGACATATAATACTCATTGTATTGTGTATCATTAATCATTGCATCGAATTGTACTTTGGTAGTTTCATTAGTCCTTTATCGATTTGGATACAAACGTTATATCATCATTAAGTATTTGGAAAAATTCTCTCTTAATTTCTTTTTTCGCTTCCTTTGCGTTTCTCCTGTCCTTTGCTAATTTTCTTTTAAGGGAAAAGAAAAAGAAGTTTTAGGCAACTGGATAATTATCCTTGTAACGATCTCAACGAGACAAGAAGCGAACGGCGGCTCAGTGAACCTAGAATCATATTGTGATTGTGCCCTATTTTCTCATAGGAACTGCGCGTGGAGCTTGCAAAGAATACGGGCCTTTTATAGGGATGACAAACCTTCGAATGCCTTTCCATTGACCACAGCAGAAATGTGCCACTCTGTGCTTCCGTGCGAAAATGCGAATGTGCGTAAGTGCACGAGTCGCATTGTGCAAAAGAATTAAGAAGGTGAATAGAGAGAGAGAGAGAGAGAGAGAGAGAGAGAGAGAGAGAGAGAGTGAGTCGGTGAGAGGGGGGAGAGCCTTGATAAGTTATTTTCATGTATCACATATGGTCCAGAGGAGCCTGCGTGTGTCCCTGTCGAAACAGTTTTTGAATTAGAAAATTTGATAAAATTCGCGATGGGCAATGGGGCAATGAGAGGGAACGGGTGTGGGGCCAATAAGGCAGATAAACGGCAGCCAGGGGCAGAACCAAGTTCGAATGATCAGTTTAGAATGATCACTTAAGCTCTCCCGAATGACAGATTATTAATCGAGTATTGTTATTGCGCAACTGTTGTTCGAGCGCCGAGGACGAGGACGACGATCCTGACGTGAAGGCTCAGCGGGAAAAAGAGAGGCGGCAGGCAAACAATGCTAGGGAAAGGTAAGGCGGCGAGAACTAAAGTCATCCGAACGCAAGAACCACGAGAGTCTGACACACCGTCACCAGCGGTTCAGAACAGTAACGTAACGCGACCTGCTGGCCACGCTCTTCCTTCTTCCTTCTTCCTTCTTCCTTCTTCTTTCTTCGTTCGCCTCCCCTGACGCTTATCACAATTAGGAGCTTCTCCTCCTACAGCCCAGCCTAATGACGCTAACGACGAAGCTGCCTTCCTCTTCCCTGTGTCCGCCCTGCTCTCTCCTTCTCTCTCTCTCTCTCTCTCTCTCTCTCTCTCTCTCTCTCTCTCTCATAACTCGTGGCTCCCCTAACTCGTAACTCGTAACTCGTAACTCTGGCCCGTATTCTGTGTATGCAGCGAAAACTTTTGGATTCACCGAGCCCTTCGTTCCTGCTTTCCTGCTTTCCTGCTTTCCTGCTTTGTTGCTTTCTTCGTTCCTTCTCTCGCATGTTGACCGTGTACCTGATTTGCAACGAATCCTTACTGTACCTACATTTTGCTATCTGCTCTGTGGTGTTACTGGTAATATTGATGCCGAGGTCTCAGCGGGGGGGCCGGAAAGAATAAGACAGGCACTAAAGAGTAACGTTGATACACCGCAGGATACGTATAAGGGACATCAACGAGGCCTTGAAGGAACTCGGAAGGATGTGCATGACGCACCTGAAGACCGACAAGCCACAGACGAAGCTCGGCATTCTGAATATGGCCGTCGAGGTGATAATGACCCTAGAGCAGCAGGTCAGAGGTAAGTCCTGGCATCGTGCGCAAGTGCGCTCTGCCACTTGTCAACCCCCTGAACGTCTTCATTGTCATCGACAATTGTTTGTTTCATCTTTCCAGAGCGAAATCTTAATCCAAAGGCAGCGTGCTTAAAGAGGAGAGAAGAAGAGAAGGCTGAGGATGGACCAAAGTTACCGGGCCACCTGGCAGCTCACATAGCCCATCCTCATCCGCACCCTCACGCACACTCGCAACCACCCTTCACCGCGATGCCCGTAAGTCCGAATGGCCCTCCCTCCCGGGCGGAGACTTTGCATTGGCCTTGACTAGGCCCTGGCGAAACCGCCATGTCCATCCGGGTGCCACGAATAGAAAGACGGACAATCCTCAGTTCCCGGATGCATCTCTTGTGCAGTTAGCGTTTTAACAGGGCGAATCGAAATTTGTCGACCCTTACGAATACCGCGATAGCACTATATAACATATATGCACTATTTTATTTTGATGCTACTACTACATTTCCATATGTGGAAGCCGAACGAGAGAAATAAACATTTGTTAATATTTTAACACTCGTTATATTTATTGATTGTGAATAAAAAGTTTCGGAATTTCTGTTTCAGATACCAATGTCCCTTACAATCTTTGTAATTTGACAATGAGGCGCTCAGATATTCGTGACATTTTTATTTTTAAAATTATCTTCGGTTTTTCACGTGCTGTGTGCTGTCAGAGCTAAAGAAATATTTACTTTACCGTAGCAAATTGCAAATAGAAAGATGACGACTTATACGTGACCAATTAAATTTAATATTTGACCGAGAATGGAGGTGCAGATTATCGTAGATGTATTAAAGCCGATTTTTCAAATTCATGAATATTTCTTGATTATTCTCATATTTGCTTTTGCAATATTCTCTCAATTCAGTAATAAGACGTGAGAGGAAGCAGGAGCGACATTAACATAGTTTCTTTTGGGCTCTTGCCAATCATTTGATATCCTGTCAGGACAGTAGCAAATATTTCAATATTTTAAGATTAAGTATCTGTTGCAGGGCCCACCGCCATCGCTTCAGCACAATCCGTCGCAACCTCAGTAGCAGCGGCTAAGCAGCGGCATCGTCCTGTGTTAAACTCGTGTGCGTCAGGTCCAGAAAGCCTGTACAAACTTTCGATAAGGCTAGGCACCTAACGACCAAGCCTTAATACTAATAAAGAAGAAACTATAACATTATATATGTATATGAAAGCAAAAGTATATATATATATTATATATATACATATAGTAATAAATACATAATCGAGGGCCGTGTCCCAGAGAAGCCAACGTGGCCAAAATTATTGTACATTGCGATTTGCGTTGCTCATGCGCTAAGAGGAACACGAAGAGAAAACTCGAAGTCGACAAACGTTTATTGGGAGCCGGCTTTTCCACTTATCACTAAAAGTTTTCCGTTCTCTCTCTCTGAATGCGAAAATCGCGAGAGACGGCATATCGATGAGCGAGTTTCAGTTTCTGCGGCACTTAAACTCATTGCATGAGATGTGCGTGCGTGCGTGCGTGCGTGCGAGCGAGCGTGTGTACATGTGAGAGATAGAGGTGGAGGAAGAGGGAATCAGAGAGTAAGGGATCGCGTGGACTATAAAAGGTTGGCACGAATGTTTTCCCGTTAACTTGTTTTTTCATTGGCCATACACCGTGGGAAAACCAAGCCACCATCTATGACAATAATTAAGCATTATTCATTAGTAAATGGAATTCCCAATAGAATTTTTTCCTTTCTCGGACATATCATAGGCACTGATGACGGTCGTTCTCGAGAACGGGCAGAAAAACCATGAGGACTCATTAATTTCCTCGGAATATTCTGTAGTCCCTCTTCCGTCTTACTATTCCTCGCTTCTTGCTCACTCTCTCGTTCTCTAGCTCTCATTCTCTCTATCGGTTTGAACTGATGAACAGGTAACTAGAGAGAATGAAATGCAGAGAGAGAGAGAGAGAGAGAGAGAGAAAGAGAGAATATACTGAAATTGGCGATGCCCAAGCGCGACTACATTGGAACTGTAGGATGTGCCAGGGTTGTTAGCCGTTTATTAAAATAACATCTCTAAATAGGAGTTCTCCCTTATCTCTTAGAAAAGATACAATGACGAATGGACGTCACTGCGATAACTCCTATAATGACTACGATAAACTCGATCAATGGAATAAACCGATGGGTACGCTAATGACGAAGACGAGACGGACGCATAGTTTGTTAAAGAAATGCGTATTATAGTCCAGGTAGACAAGTAATAATGTAATATTACTAATATAAATACGGCGGCTTAAAATTATTTTTATAAATAGCGCGAGACAAAAGATATGGTTCCTCTTTCGAGATGTAAAATGATACGATCGATTTTACTACACGTTATTATCCTCTATTGCGTATATGTATACATGTATCTAGTATCTACACGGTCATTTAGCTGTGACGCACCAACTGCAGTTGGCCCGTCGATCTGATGCCTACGGTAAAGCCAGCTTCAGGTTGTGCGCTTCAGCTGAGTTACCACCATATGTAATGCGATTCGTTACGTTTAAGGGACTAACTAGAAGAGTCACTCTACGCCCGACACACAAAAATACCGATTCTTGTATATAGATAGTGACCCACCGAGAGGAGCTCACGAGCACTTTGAAATAATCCCCGTTAATCGTTTATTGTTTATCATTAGCTCCGAGGGCGGAAAGACCCTGATGAAATTATCTAAAATTTCTCGACTGGCTTCAATTTGCATCATCTTTGACATCAATATATTCCACACGTTCCCCAAGCATGCGCGCGCTGACTCGCCGAGAAACCAGCTAGAGTCTCTTAGGAGTCTGCGTCCTGGGGGACGAATTTCCGTAAGAGGAATTTTGAGCCGCTGCTGTTGTCGAGGATGATGAGGCGTGAGAGAGAGCGTGAGTGCGAGACGAGGCAAATTTGAAAACGCGAAGCACGGCGCAGGACGGCGAAGGAAAGTGGAAAGTCGATTCATGCGATAAATTTTAATGGAAATCGTGTGGTTCCTTATTACTAGTCGCGCTCCCGTCGGGATTCATTGGGATTCGTCAGGTCTCTCGCGCCTTCGTAGCCATGTTGTTTGCAGCCCTTCCGAGTGCGTAGTGCAAATTCTCATCCGTAGGCGTGTGCAGCCTGACAGAGATAGAACAGAGAGAGAGAGAGACCTGCGCGTGTCGAGCAGAGTCAAAAGAGAGGGATTAGGAGAAGCTCGAGGACTTGGAGACATCCGCCTATTTCATTCCGGAGGCGCGTGTCTTATCCATCTTCAGCGTGTTTTGCCCGCTTCGCGAGAATCTAATGGCACGCGATGCCACCCACGAAGACATTCGAAACGTATCTCGCGCATAATTGTACATATGCAGCAATTAAGTATGTCTATTCGACTACCTTATTGCGACTAGTTAGGCTGCTCTTCGCTCAGTCGAAACACGTAAAGATATGGAAGACGTACACGGCGGCGGGATCGTCGGCTCAGAAATGAGCGAAGCACTGGTTCACTCATGCTTCTTTGTTTCGTTAATATTTTAGTCAATTCTTAGCACGCAGCAACATAAATGGAAACCGGTAGAACTCGAGCTGCTTAAACCTAAGGATATTTTCTATCTGAAGAATTGTATACTCCATTAAAGATAAACGTAATGTTGACTGGTCCTCGTAGCGACGTAGCAGATTGGACTACTTAATTCTTTTAGAATGTTATTCTTGAGATGAAGAGAACCTTGAAACATAAAATTAAATCGGCTTCCTTTCGCTAACATTCAAGGAATGGGCCGATCGTCAATATTTTGAGAGATTAATGAAAAGAATAATAAGAGTAACGTGATGCTGCGAAAGACGTTTCCGCTTTTGAAGTCATCAGATTGTTGCGTACGTGTAAACTATTTCCATGCGTTAAAACTGACTGAACAGCAGCTTTAATTATTATCACTACTATTATAAAGCTGAATACTATGATTATTAAAATCATCGTCATCTTCGCCGTCGTCATCATTACCGCCATCGCCAATATCATCGTTTATTATTATTATTATTATTATTATTATTATTATTATTATTATTATTATTATTACTACTATTACTATTATTATTGTCGACATTATCATTTTTATTATATCGTCATCATTATTAATTATTATTATTGTCCTTATTATTAATTATCATTAGCAGTCAATCGATCATTATATCGAGAAGAAAATCTTTCCCGAAAAGGACATTTTTGTTTCTGAACAAAAATAAAGCTCAACGACGTGTACCCAGTTGCCATGTATTTTAATTTATTTAGATTCTTAAATAAATTTTATTGAAAAGATCGTAAGTCATAATTGCGCTTATACACCGACGCTCTCTGGTGACTGTCAATGGGGACGTGTAGACATCACTCGCATATTGTTTCTTGTATCTGCATCCTCGCCCTCGTCCGCACCTTTCAATAACTCAGGCCTGAATGTTTGTCTTCTTCTAGCTAATTGTAAACCGATGAAAATTGCGAGGAATAATTTATACACCTGCGCTGCTAAAACCGAGAAGCTGACCTTCTTCATCACTTCATTGCCATTCTTGTCTCCTCATTAATTCTCCACGATATACCGTAATTTCCTATTTGGGAATTGTCTCTCTCTCGACTTGCCCCACCTCGACTCAAGTATATATTTTTCATCGACGGAAACTCACTGGCTAATTAAATTGGGTCGAAGCCGCTATGAAAAAGGGGCAAGAGGTGTAAATGTGAACTCTTGTTTTTAGAAGTTTCCGCAGATTTTGCCACACGCCGTTCTCGCACTCTGCAATCTCGATAGGAAAATAAAGAAGCGGAGAATGACTGGATCTCTTGAGAGTCGAGACAGGGGAAAGGTTTGAGCGAGTGATACACGCACATTTTACACCAAACCAATGAATTACACGCACACGCACACGCACACGCACACGCACGCACACACCGACTCCTCGATAATAGAGCCGTTATTAGGAGCGATTCGATAGGATAAAAAGTGTGAATATTGTGATTGATCAACCGACACGATGCGAGGACTGAGAGCGCCAGTCGTTTAACCTATTAACCCGAGATCGAAGCGTGTCATATGATTACAGGCGCATGCAATGCAGTATTATAATGAGTGCTCATAAAAAAACTAGATCACTTTCCTCAGAGACATTGACACGCCGACAACTGGAAGAGGCCAAAGAGGCCAAAGAGGCCGACAAGGAGAACCAGGACATACCTTAGGACACTTACCTATGTTTCTATGTTTATGACCGGACATTACAACCTGTTTTAAATTTTAAGAAAAACCTCTGGAAAGTGGAAGAACCCTGTTTACCGGCGAAGCTACAAACGAGTCCAGAGTTTCTACCAAGCCAAACGAGGACAGGCCGACGAGAACCGACATCGCTGATTCAGACGAGCCGTCGAAGGATTCTGCTCGGTTGAGTTCGAGGCATAGGGATATAGAAGAGATAACGAAGATACGAAAGATAATAGGGAATTTTTGTAAAAGTGCAAGGTAATCATGTAAAATACTATCCACTATAAATAGCAAGTAAGTCAGTTTAAGCTAGAGCCTGTCGATAGTTATAGGTCGTTCAAACACGAGAATGAGAGGGAAATTGGAGACAACCTGTCAAAAACCTATTCAAAAACAAATATCAAATTTTCAAAGAACGTAAAATGAAAGAAATGTTTAATTACCATTAATAATATATTATAATGAATATTGACCTATTAACATAATAAATGTGCCATTTTTCCATAATTCTAAAGCACCATATTTGCCATGAATTTATTTAAGTTTCTACAAGAAGATATAGTCGTAGCCATTTTTTAGAATTCGCTCGTATCTTCATCCCTCCCTCC